CGCCACTAAAGTTTTCTCATTCTCTTTCATCCCCTGTAACCCCCGAGAGTGTGACCGATTCCTAAAAAAACTACTGATTTCAATTAAACACCACAGAGAGCCTTTTCTGGACCGACTATATCGAGTCAATTGCTATATCTTCTGCAAAGAAAATTGCTTCAGTGTATCGTCCCAGACATTTTTTCTCGACAGAGCCAATCTTATACATTTATAAATCTACTGTTCGTTCGTTTATTAAAAACTGTTGCTATATCTGGTCTGGTGCTCCTACTGTGCATCTTAAGATTCTTGCCAAAATCCAGAGAAGAGTCTGCAATAAAATCGATCCTGATCAGGCATCTCGTCTCCAGTTAATTTCTCACAAACCTGACGTGGCTTCTGTCTGTCTGTCCTATAAATATTATCATGGCAACTGCTTGGATTGGCATTTTTTTCCAGGTTCCCAAACTGCATGAATTTAAGCGTGCTTTTAAATTGACAATTCAGTCTCATCATTTTACTGTTGAGTTAGCTACATGCAAACGCCACTTCTATTCTGACAGTTTCTTCAATTGTTCTTCCCATCTATGGAACTCCCTTCCGATTTCTTGCTTCCCTAATAACTACAATCTTCAAAGATTTAAATGCGACGTCAATCGCCATCTTCGGCATTCTAGAAGCCTGTTCAGTTTTTTTTTTCCTTTCCTCAATCCTCCTCAATTTTACTCTTTTTATTCTCTTTCACTTTCACTCACCCATCACCACTACGGGCTAGTGGGGTTATCGCTTTCTAGGGGGGTGAAAGAATTTTTTTAAAGTTTTAATAGCAGTATCACGCAAAGCGTAGTAAAATAAACGCAAACGTCTGAGGATTTCAAATATTTAGCATTTTACTTTTGATATGAGAATAGTTTTAATCAAAATGCAACAAAAACATATTTTTTTTACATCAACAATCGATACCAGAGAATCTATTTAATAAAAAATGAGCTCATTTCATCCGTCGAAAATGAATCTAGTTGCATTCCATCATCGCCGATCGAACGCTGAACTACTAACATTACAATGAATGGAAGCTCCTTCAGGGAGCTTCCATTCATTGTAATGGTAGTAGTTCAGCGAGGATCTATTGGGCCTCAAAATAAACCCAGACCTCAAGTGAACATACGATCCATCGCTAAAGAGACTAGAAAAATGATCGGTCCCCGATACCGCTCCAGTAAGTACCTGAAACCTCATGCTACCCTCTACTTTTACAAGAGCCGGATCCGGCATAAAATGGAGTACTACTGCCATATATGGACAAGGGCTGGTCAACCGTCACTTTCTAGTCTCGTCTCCACGTCGTTTTGAGTGATGAATTATTTCCCCCCCCCCTACAACACCTTTCTCAAGGACGAAACGTTCCAAGCCTCTCATTCTTCTATCGCTATTTCTATGGAAAGTGTTCAAACGAACGACATTCTTTAGTTTCCCCAGTTCTAACCTTCAATCGCCATGCTATGGACATTTTGTCGAAATATCCTTAATTTCGAACGGCTTCTTCTCGCGAACCGTTGCTCTGTGGAACCGGCTGCCAAGAAGATGCTTTTCCGATCACTACAATCTTAACCTGTCCAAGGTAAAGATTATCCGTTATCTTTCTCTCCTCCCCACATAAACTCCCTCTTAATTTGTAACCCTCCTCTTCGAATGACCCGCGGGGCATGCGCAGAGCGAACCTCACTTTAAAAAATATATGCACCGGCTGTAACAGCAAAATTACCCGAATCGTGTTACAGTATAATTGTCCATTCCACAAAATGTTTAATATCTAAAAAAAAATCACCAAAGTTATTGAGTTTATTTCCAGGTTTTCAGATAAGACGTTTAGCTATTGTGATACCATTTGTTGTAATAATCAATGAAAAATCCTTTGAGTTATTCAACTAGAAAGAGAGTAGGTTAATATCGTTTTGTGCCAGTCCCACTTGTTTTCTCAACTCAGTAATGGCGAGAGGAAAAATCATTCAAACCTTCAATAATGGTACCAACGTTCATGGCTTCCATCTTCAAAGTCCATACAAGAACCATCAAAATGTTTAAACAGTAGAGAAGAAAATTGTATCAGGAGGTCACAACAGGAAGAGGGATCATCATTTCAACTTAGAGCTAAAGAGATCAATTAGAAAAGATCCAACTCAATTCATAAGATGTTTTTGGCAAATGTGAGAAAGGAGTTTCACCTATGACAGTCCAAAGATCAGTGTAAAGAAGACATGAAAATGAAATCGTACGTGAAACCTCTGAGGCACCTTGTTATTCCAGGACAGAAAGGTTAGAAAAGGCGAATAAGCTGGGAAAAGATTCTGGAATAATATATATATATATATATATATATATATATATAAAGTTTATATCAATCCTTCACGAGCATCCGATCCTTAGCTATGATTTATTAATGATGAACATGTCATATTCGTTTATGATCGATTTCATCACGATTCTTCTGTTAAGCTTAGAGAGCAATTATACTTTCTTATTGCTTAAATTAGACTCCAATGGTGTTATAAAAGCCTCGGAGAATTCCAGTAAGATATTTTTAATCATTTCTAAGATACAACGGTTCAGAACTTAACCTAACAATTGGACAATTTTGCTGTTACACGACTTGGACAATTTTGCTATTACCCCCGGTATATATTTATTGTATATATACAAGGGTCTTATTTTCTGGATTTAATACATATAAAATTTATCCAAAGTTTTAACGGTTATCATTCTCACATAACCACATATACGGCTTCTTACTGTGTAAACCTCTACCTCGAGTGGCACTCGGGCCTTGTACAGCGTGAAGATCACTATAAAAAAAAAAAAACCTTCAAAATCCGTTGTTGAGAAAAGGAATATACTCAAGTTTAGATAAAATAAAAACAGGACTGTGTTAGATTGCGATCCAATCTAACCATACGGAAAAAGTGTTGCCGTTGTTTTCTGAGCGGGGAAATTTTTTCTACCCAAAATAAGGGTAAAAAATCACTAACTTTGAGAAGAATAAAGAGAGAAATATTTAGTGTGGCAGGGAATAAGCAAGTTCATCTTTGCAAGATAAAAAAAGCGTAAAGATAGTGAACTAGTATGCATCACTATTAAATGTCTAATCTTAATAAAAAATAATGCCTATTTTTCGATTTTTTCATATAGACCATCGTCATAATCATCATCATCATCATCATCAGACTCATGATCGTATGTGCTCGTCCTGTCGTTACGCATGTCTTACTTAAAGCCTGGAGAGATCGTTATTCGTGCGTAACATGTCTTTGACAAATAAACCTGGCGAGGCCCACCCCTTCTCCATGTCAAACCACAGTCGATGTCCTCCAACTTGTAGGCTCGCCTTGATCGCAGACACGTGGCCGTCGATTCCATAGGAGAAGCCTCTGAACAGGCTATTCACTTGAGTCAATGAAGCTTCCTGGCCAGCGACTCTGTCTCATCAACGCATCGCTTGCATCCTTATCAATGAAGCACAATCTAAACCACTGTGCCAGATGGAGGTTGACCCTCCAAGAAGGTTCATCCATTTTTTGACAGTTTTGAATCTTGTTGGACGTCTAGCTACCCTCCTCACCAGAAATCTTGGTGGGAGAACCGGTTTAAACGTCGATGACACCACCATGTTTCCATGTTGCTAATCTGCTTTTTACTCATGAGCTTTAAACGTATCGTTGATCAGATCTTCCTATCTTCTTATTCTTCGTGATTGCTTTAACTTGTACTAGTAGTAATAAACGTAAAAGTTTTAAACTGTCTGAATTTCCGTATTTATTTTGCTTTTATTCTTACTAATGTTCACAATGACCAAGAGCCACTCGAGGTAGAGAGTTGCTGAATGCAATGAAGTGAAGGGAGTACGAAGTAGAAATTATGATGATAAGAAGAATAAATAACGATTGACACTTGAACCGAATGAGTTAAAATTGTACTATTCGGGAAAGCATCCACGTGGGAGTCTGTTCCACAACGAAAAAGCTGTCTGGGTGGAAATATCTACTCACAAATAGAATATAAAGCTAGTGAGGGTGACTCGACATTATGAACTCAAGTGTAATAACAAACAGGTTTCGGCATTATTTTTACAGTATGGTTCACTCTGTAAAAGACCCAAGGGCCACTCAAGGTAGAGGGTAGCATTAAGGGGTAGTTTATGAAGGGTAAGATAACGGTTAACTATAGACTTGAACAGTTTAAGATTGTAGTGATTGGGAAATATACATTTGGGAGTTTGCTCCACAGGGCAGTGGTTTGAGGGAAGAATATGTTTGAGTGGGACTTACATGCCGATGGTATACCGAAGAAATGTGGGTGGCTTGTTACGATGCAAGTGGCATGGCGGGTCCTAGCCGCGAAGGTTAGATCTGGTGGAACCAAAGAACGTAGTTCGTCCGTGCACTTTCCATGGTAGTAGCTATAGAGTAGTGAGAGACTCGCCACATCTCGCCTGTGTGTGAGAGAGAGAGAGTTTGGAGACTGGAAAATAATTCTTCCCCAACAAGGACTCAGCGACGCTTTTGAACTCCATCCAAACTGAAAAGTGACGACTAGGCAGCCCCACCCAAATATGGTAACAGTAAACCATTTGCGGCCTGATCTGGTTCTTATAAAGTTAGAAGATAATTCTTAATATATGGAAAAAAACCACCAACCTAATCCAATCCCACCCAAACTGTCAGGTTACGGAAACTAATGAAATATAAAAGATGTTTTCCGGATTATTTTTCATAACTTAATCTGAAAAAGTTCATGGTTTTCCGACACAACATCTTTATTAAAGGTCACAGAATATTAAAAATAAAAAGTGAGTCGAGTGCTGCAAGAAAAGTCAATTCAAAGAATGTTTTATATTCTTTGCTTATTTATGTAGCGTTGGGTCAATAAATCTATAGTCTCACACGTAGTTAAAATTTAATCCGAAGTTTTCAATGGTAATTTTGACTCGTAAAATGCAACCACGTGACTAGAAACAAAGGCATTTCATGCTTCCTCCCTCCCCCTTACCCTGGCCTTTTCTCCACGTGTGTTGCATCATGTGGTTAACACAATAAACAATGAAACAGCTGCAGAATAAAAAGCAAGGCACGTGTTGTGCTTGACCAAATAAAATGGCCAACTTATGACTGTCGACATGTTTTCATTGAGTAAAGAACTAAAAGCAATGAAGTGAACTTTCTCGTGGTTGTGTGAAATACAAGGAAAACGATATGGATTTTGTCTCAGAATTTAATCCCGAAACAAACAAAAAAAAGGAGAAATTAACCGAAAAAAAAACAGCATAAAATTGACGGGTATATCTATTTCAACTCTAAAATAATGAGACCTTACCGTCAATCTAGTACAGTGTTTAAATTTATAGAGTTTTTACATTCCTTGGTTCTGCCAGATCTAACATTCGCGGCTAGGACCCGCCATGCCACTTGCATCGTAACAAACCATTCACATTTCTTCAGTATACCATCGGCAAGTAAGTTCCACTCAAACAGCTTCTTCCAGCGAACCACTGCCCTGTGGAAAAAAATCCCATATGTATGTTTCCCGATCAGTACAATGTTAAACTGTTCAAGTCTATAGTTAACCGTTATCTTCCCCTTCATAAACTACATCTTAATGCACTCTCTACCTTGAGTGGCCCTCGGGCCTTTTACAGAGTGAACCTTACTTTAAAAATAATTAATGCCGAAACCTGTTTGTTATTACACTTGCGTTCATAATGTCGTGTCACCCACACTAGCATTATATTCTATCTGCATGTAGATATTTCCACCCAGATAGCTTTTTCGTTGTGAAACAGACTCCCACGTGGATGCTTTCCCGAACAGTACAATTTTAACTCCTTCGGTTCAAGTGCTAATCGTTATCTATTCTTCTTATAAGTGTCATAGAAAAAGTTCATTAAAACAAAATTACCATAAAATTATTTAAGGTAAAGACAGAGAAAAGCTGCGTTACGGCGGTGAGAAAGTAAATGCAGATGTGATGTCAAGTCACATTGCAGAGTCTTCTTTAGATTTTATTAAGAATTACTAACTGTGGTAGCAATATTCAAAGCATGGACGAATGGTAGACTTATAAATATGTAAGATAGATACTGGTGAGAAAAATGTCTAGCACGACACAGTCAACTGTCTCATTTGTCTAAGTCAATTACTACGATCAATTTTCAAAATAAAACATAAAATTCATCTTTCCTTTTTTTTTTTAGATTCGTTTTTTTTTTTAAACATTATCTCTGTGTGATTACCCCATTTTGTGTTCCAGGGAACTTCGCTTAAAGCCCACCAGTTGACATGACAATAAGTCGTAGAAAATGAAAGGACATAAACCTTCTTTTCTTTCACTGATAGCCATAGAGTAGAATAGGCAGAAGACATGTCCCCCCCCCTCTCTTTCTGTCTCTCTCTCTCTTTCTTTCTCTCTCTCTTTCTCTCTCTCTCTATCTATCTATCTATCTATCAATCTATCTATCTCTTTCTCTCTCTTTTTCTCTCTCCCCCTCTCTCTTTATCTATCTATCTATCTATCTATCTATCTATCTATCTATCTAGCCCCTCTCTTTTTTCTCTTCCTTTCTCTCTGTTTCTCTCTCTGTTCATCTCTCTGTTTCTCTCTCTCTCCCTCGCTCTCTCTCTCTCTCCATCTCGCTCTCTCTTTCTCTCTCTCCCTCTCGCTCTCTTTCTCGCCCTCTGTTTCTCTCTCCCCCTCTCTCTCTTTCTCTCTCCCACCCTCTCTCTCTCACTCTCACTCTCCCACTCTCACTGACTCTCACTCGTTCTCTCTCTCTCTTTCTCTCTCTCCCTTTCGCTCTCTTTTCTCTCTCGCCCTGTTTCGCTCCCCCCTCTCTCACTCCCTCTCTCTTTCTCCCTCCCTCTCTCAGTTTCACTCTCTCTCACTCTCCCATTCTCTCCCACTCTCTCTCCCTCTCTCCCACTCTCTCTCTCTCACTCTCTCTCTCTCTCTGTCTCTGGGGACACAACTTCCAAATAAAGCATATGACACACTCATATGCGCGCACACGGACACATACGTAGCAACAAATCACGTTAATGCTTTCTTTACTTTTTTTCTGTTACGTCCATCTTAAATACAGATAAATATAATTTTTTCCTTTTCTTCTAACCTACTTCCGAACTTCTACTACGAAATTAATGGGGTGAGGTAAGTAGGATAATGTCTGTCCTGACTTTTCCGAAGGAATGACCCACGTGGCATTGTGTGTCAATGTAGATTAGGGAATTACCTTCAAAAGTCCCGACTATTTATAACAAACATTTGAAAAATGTTAATTTTTCGCAACTTCTTCTAAAACTTCTATATATATAAGTCTTATATGCAGAAAATTATTCTGCTTCAATTCCAGAAAATAAGTGAAAAACGTACAACAAAAACAACATTTGTAATGAAACTCAAAACGAAAAATGTTTATTAAACTCTGCAAAAAATGATGGAATGATCTAAAAACTTTTGTTCGATAAAAAATGTAAGGCACTTAGAAACATTGAAAGATTTTATGAAACAAAGAAACATTTATATTCACCACGTTAGTGCACCTCGAGGCGGTGTAATAGTTAGCAAGCTTGTCGCGCTAAAACGATTACGACTGAGTAATGAGTTCGGTCCTCACTAGCTGCCTCCTACTTTCGGCCTTGTACCGCATATAAACTACGCTTGGGCAATCACTATATTCTTCACGTTGACAAATATAATCTCATTATTAAATACTTTATTTTGGGGTTGATTTGGTTTGTTTTGTTTTACGGCATATCAACCTCCCTTGACCACCGCTTTACCGGTGGTAGTGAAAAATGACTTAATCCCCAGCCACCGGTTGAACGGTGGGTAAACACTTGTAACTACTTTATATCTACCATGAAACATTGCATAACAATTATTTAAGAATTTTGACTCAGGTCCTTATGCAGAAGGGTTAAAATTGTTTAAGAACACAAAGCTCAAATGGTTAATACCGACAAGATTTCTATTGCTGTTAATTTTTTTTTCTTTTTCATAAAGTATTTCTGGTAATATTTTTCCCAAATAAATTGGCGGTAATATTTTTTTCCAAAAATGCATTGCTGGCAAAAATGTTTCGAAAAAAGTATTGCTAGTAATAAAACCTATTTTTATACTTTCATAGTTTTTTTACTCCTTTTTTTTTCGTAGGGGAAGGGTTACTATTTAGCTGGGACCTTGACAGGTGCTACCACCGCTAGTCAAGGTGAACCTGGGAACCCCAGCAATTAAGAGGTGTTTCAAAACCTTCTAACCAAAGACCTTGCTGTCGGGTGCAGTTTATCGTCCTACCCAGGAAACGGACGTAGTTTATTGCCATACCTAGGACGCGGGCGTAGTTTATCGTCATACCCAGAACGCGGACGTAGTTTATCGTCTTACCCAGGACGCGGACGTAGTTTGTCGTCTTACCCAGGACACGAACGTAGTTTATCGTCTTACCCAAAACGTGGACGTAGTTTATCGTCTTACCCAGGACGGTTTGGTGTCGAATTGAATGACGTTCTTCAAATTGCTTTTTGTGCGGAAAGATATTAATAAGGAAAAAAACTAAACTCATCATCAAAAGTCATCTTCTGTCTTCCTGAACGATGTTCTTTTGCTGTCCTTTCTACTCACTAAAGTCTTATAATTTTCTATCCCTCTGAGTAACCATTGGCGTCTTAGTGACTTTATCGCCTTGCATGACGCGAAATGATTTTTTTTTAAATCTAGAAATTTACTCTGCTTGTTAGCAACAGCAGCGGTATTTTTTAGAACCTAATCGTGACTTGTTATATATTACGAAAATACATAATCTCAGAATCTAAAAAAAACAAAATGTTATTGTGTTTATTAATACTACTATTAACAATACTTATTTTTCTCTGACTATATCGTGTCCTTTCAGAACATGAGCGATCATGACACTCCACATCTTCCTACTTTTTATTGCTATAAGTAGCTCATACCCCGTTAGAACCTATTTTTGTTTGCTCGATATTTCCTCACGCTTCTGTAGCTTGCAGTACGCCATGTAAGTGTTAAATTCTCCAAACACTCTTTTCTCAATATGTCGGTAATGTTATCGATCCTGACTTGGGATCTCGACCAGTCACTTTCCCATCGTGTCTTTTCTATAAATACTTTCATGGTAGTTATTCTAATGAGCTTCCCCACCCCGTCAGTGCGTTGACCGCATGACTTTAAGCGAACTGCTGCTAAAAGGTCTCATCGTTTTGCTATTGAAGTAGCAAGATGTCGCTATAAGGCCTTTTCTAATAGTTTCTTTTCCCGCACTTCTCGCCTGTTATACTTAAAAAATTAAAGACAATATCAATCGCCATCTTCTGTCTTCCTGAAACCTGTTCTTTTATTGTCCTTTTCTACTCACTAACGTCTTCTCGTTTTCTTTCACTCCCAGTAACACACTGCGTCTTAGTGGATATTATCACCTTCCTTGTGGTGAAATGATTAAAAAAATGATAATAATTTGTCTTTTCTACAAATATTTTCATGGTAATTGTTCTAAGCTTTTCTCCTTGCTACATCAACTGCATGAATTTAAGCATACTACTTAATTGCTTAGACACGGTGGAGTAATGGATAGCAGCTCTAATTGAGGAATCGGAGAGCCGAGTTCGAATTCCAGTCGAATCCATTCACTTACGTGCTAATACTCTTGGGAAAGGCATGAATCCGCTTCTTCTTCCCCCACCCCAGGTAAGTAGCAGGACAGATAGGGTTCTATAGCCTTGGATGGCAACTGGTCTACCAAAAGAAATGGCAACCTAATGCGGGAAAAAATCTGCCTCATCAGTCATGTATCGAAAGATGCATGAATGTCTAAGCATGTATCACGCAAGGCCCATAATTAACCGAGTTAATTGCCTCTAAGTATCAACGTTGAAATAGCAAGGTGTTCTATTATAATAGTTTGTTTTTTTTCGCCTGTGGAAATCTCTTCCGTTTTCTAACTTTCCCTGCTACCTGAGATCATTAAAAGTTTAAACGCAACACCAATCGTAATCTTCTGTCTTCCTGAATTCTATCCTTTTAGTGTCCATTCTACTCAGTAAAATCTTCGCATTTTCTTTCACTCCTGGTGCCTTAGTGCCATTATCCCCTTACTTGGAGTGAAATATTTAAAAATGTCTCCTAAAAATTTCATCTGTCTCTTTCCCATCTTTGTTAGTAGCGTCTTCTTACTAAACATTAATCGTTACTCAAATATTTTATCCATGATATTCTGGGATACAGGATGCGATGAGTAAATTGTCGCCATTTTATATTTTTAATTTCGCGCATGCGCATTGTTTTCGTTTTTGTCGACGACACAACATTGTGGGTTCAGTTGGGCACCGTCTATGAGAAATAGAACAACATGACGCAATTCACTCAGCCAGAAATTTGAAAGGGCATGATATACTGCTTGGCATTCGCACCGGAAGCTCTAATACGAACATTTCAGAGTGTTTAGGTATCAATATGAGGACAGTACAGAGGATTCGGAAAGAGATAGATGAGTCTAATAGTTATTAGAAAACTCACTCTGCTCGTTCTAAGAAAAGAACTCCCGAATTTGTTGGTAAGGGCTTCAGACTCAAGACGGAGGCCTACGTCAAGTGCATTGAGGGAGTAGTGCTGCCCTGGGACAAGAAGGTGACTACTGGAAAACCCTATGTCTGGCAACAGGACTCTGCACCATGTCACACAAATAGGAGAATCCAGTTATGGCTGTCAGACAATTTCTTCGACCACATTACCCCTTACATCTGGCCATTTAACTCCCCAAACTGGTGGAACTAAGGAATGTAGTTCGTTTGAACATTTTACATGGAAATAGCAAAAGAGTAGCGAGATGCTTGCAACGTTTCATCTGCAGGAAAGGGGTTGTTGGGTGGGGAAAAATCATCATCCACAAGGACGCGGAGACGTCTTCGGACTCTATCGAGTTTGAAAAGTGAAGTCTGGCCTACTCCGGTCCATATATGACAGAAGTACTCCATTTACGGCCTGAACTGGCTCGGGTAAAGGTAGAAGATAGCAGGCGGTGTCAGATACAGATAACCGACCATTTGTCCAGTATTTTAGCGATGGATCGTCTGTGCATATTTCACTAGAGATCTGGGTTGATCATAAATTTCTGCCATATATGGTCTGGAGCCCCTTCTGTTTGCCTCGGGGTTCTTGATAGGCTCCAGAGGCGGATATGCAATATAATTGGCCCTGATCTGGCATCTCGTCTACAGTCACTCTCTCACAGACGCGCTGTCGCCTCTCTCTGTCTGTTTTACAAATACTTTCATGGTAATTGCTCCGAGGAGCTGCATTCGCTGATTCCCAGACGTCATGAGTTCAAGCGCCCTACGAGGCTGGCATCCCGCTCTCACCCCTTCACTGTTGAAACTCCTAAATGTAGCCGTCTCTTCTACTCTAATAGCTTCATGTCTCGCAACTCTCGCCTGTGGAACTCCCTTCCCTATTCCAGTTTCCCTGAGAGCTATAATCTCCAGCTATTCAAATGTAATGTCAATCGACATCTCCAGTTACCTTGATCTATCCACTACCCTTTTCCTCATTCTTTCTTCTATCGCTCCTATCTGATCTTGCTCCAAATCCTCTGTAAACCCTTGCGTCCTAGTGGCTTCACGCCTTGCTTGGGGTGAAACGCTTAAAAAAAAAAAAAAAAAAAAAGTCCCAACCGGCGCTCAAATTACGTGGCCTCCCCGAGCGAACACCCGATCATCGCAATAGGGGACAATTTTGGGTTTGCACGATGATGATGAAACGTCATTAGTTTGTTTTTCGAGATATTTACTGTGACCAGTGAGTTATTACCCTCCTCCCGCACTGAACTAGGTCAGAGATTCGATCAGCTCCCAGGCTATGGTCATTTAGACTTTTTAGATACCTTTTGTGTTTGTTCAATATCCACAGAGTCCATTTATATGACTGTGGTTCATACTGTGACTATATTGAGCAAACCTTAGTTACAGTTTCTGGGAGAAAAGCGTTTTATCTAGCGTGATCATTATGCTTAAACCCTCAGTCACGATGACTTATGACTTCGTGCTAGCATAGTCATCGGCA